CTTCACCGGCCACTCCTCAGATGCCTGTTAGAGATCCTTCCTGGGTCATAGCTGCCTAAAATGCATCCAAACATTCAGTGTCTCCTCCCTCTGCATGCAGACACTGAACTTTCCTCATAGAGATTCATTGATTCAATTCATCTTTATGAGGAGATGCTGATTGGCCAGGGCTGTGTTTGAATCATGCTGGCTCTGCCCCTGATCTACCTCCTTGTCAGTCTCAGCCAATCCTATGGAGAAGCACTGTGATTGGATCAGGCCACCACTTCTGATGATGTCAGCAGACAGCAGCTTTCTATTCCGAGGAAAATTGCATGCAGAGCTACAGCTTCAGGCTTGAATACAAGTAAGATTTTGCTATATTTAGGGAGGCATGAAGGGCCCAGGAGGGCTAGATGGTGGTTTTAACACTATAGGGTCAGGAATACATTTTGTTTTCCTGACCCTATAGTGTTCCTTTAAACCACAAAACTCTCATTACTCACATCATGAAGCAGTTAATGTCTGGTTTGCGGCACACGCAGTACACTGGTGCATTCTCGCCATTTTCCGCCTCTCCAACTCCAGCCAGATCAGGGTCAGAAAACTCGCTCTCCTGGGCACACAGGAAACAAAGACTTGCATATTAATTATATACAAAGAGTAAACACCAATAATAATCAATAGAAACTGGGAGTGTATGGGGTTAGATATGTATTTATACTAGGAAGGTATGGGGTAAGATATGGCTACTGGGAGGGTATGGGCATAAGATATGTATATATGGGGTAAGATATCTAAAGATTACACTGGAAGTACATCTTTCTTAAAATCGTATTTTAAATTACTGCTGCACATCTGTTCATATGCCAACTGTGTTGCCCTTGTTGAACAATGAAAATAAAGTTGACTCTAAATGTATACTGGGACGATATGGGGTAAGATATGGCTACCTGGACAATATGGGATAAGATATGGCTACCGGGAAGGGTATGGGGTAAGATATGGCTACTGGGAGAGTATGGGGTAAGATATGGCTACTGGGACGATATGAGGGTAAGATATGGCTACTGGGACGATATGAGGGTAAGATATGGCTACTGGGATGATATGAGGGTAAGATATGGCTACTGGGACGATATGAGGGTTAGATATGGCTACTGGGACGATATGAGGGTAAGATATGTCTACTGGGACGATATGGGGGTAAGATATGTCTACTGGGACGATATGGGGTAAGATATGGCTACTGGGATGATATGGGGTAAGATATGGCTACTGGGACGATATGAGGGTAAGATATGGCTACCGGGAGGGTATGGGGTAAGATATGGCTACCGGGAGGGTATGGGGTAAGACATGGATACTGGGAGGGTATGGGGTAAGAAATGGATACTGGGAGGGTATGGGGTAAGATATGCACAATATATGTGTTTCATATAGCACACACACACTATATAATATAACACACACTGTATAATATAATAACACAATCGGTATAACACATTCTGTATAATAATATAACACACATTATATAATAACATAATCACATACATTATATAGTAATAAAACACAACACACACACTATATAATAGCATAGTATATAAACACACACTATATAACACACGCACACACTATATAACAGTATATAATAACACACACACTATACAATAATAAAATAACAGTCTATAATAAAACACGCACACACTATATAATATTACTCTCTGTATAATAATAGATTAACACAGCATATAATATCACTCTCTGTATAATAACACAGTATATAATATCACTCTCTGTATAATAACACACAGTATATATCACTCTGTATAATAATAATAATAATAATAACACACAGTATATAATATCAATCCCTGTATAATAATAACACACAGTATATAATATCACTCTCTGTATAATAACACACAGTATATAATATCACTCTGTAAAATAATAATAATAATAAACACACATTATATAATATCACTCTCTGTATAATAATAACAATAACACGGTATATAATAACACTCTGTATAATAATACACAGTATATAATATCACTCTCTGTATAATAATAACAACAACAACAACACAGTATATAATATCACTCTCTGTATAATAATAACAACAACACAGTATATATCACTCTCTGTATAATAATAATAATACTACACAGTATATAATATCACTCTCTGTATAATAATAATAACACAGTATATAATATCACTCTCTGTATAATAATAATAACACAGTATATAATATCACTCTCTGTATAATAATAACAACAACAACACACAGTATATAATATCACTCTCTGTATAATAAAATAATAACAGTATATAATATCACTATCTGTATAATAATACTAATAACAACACACCCTATATAATATCACTCTGTATAATAATAATACACAGTATATAATATCACACAGTATATAATAACACATAGTCTATAATATCACTCTCTGTATAATAATAACACACAGTATATATCACTCTCTGTATAATAATAATACACAGCATATAACACACAGTATATAATATCACTCTCTGTATAATAACACACAGTACATATCACACATATAACAGTATATAATAACACACAGTATATAATATCACACAGTATATATCACTCTGTATATAAGTGCACTTATACACACAGTATATAATATCACACAGTGTATAATAACACACAGTATATAATAACATACAGTGTATAACACAGTATATAATAATATACAGTGTATAATAACACACAGTATATAATATATCACACAGTATATAATAATATCACACAGTGTATAATAATAACAACAACACACAGTATATAATAACACACAGAGTACAACACAGTGTAAAATAACAACACACAGTATATAACAACACACAGTATATAACAACACAGTATATAACAACACACAGTATATAATAACACACAGTATATAACAACACAACACACAGTATATAATAACACAACACACAGTATATAATAACACACAGTATATAATAACACAGTATATAACAACACACAACACACAGTATATAACACACAGTATATAACAACACAACACACAGTATATAATAACACAACACACAGTATATAATAACACACAGTATATAACACACAGTATATAACAACACAACACACAGTATATAATAACACACAGTATATAATAACACACAGTATATAACAACACAACACACAGTATATAATAACACACAGTATATAATAACATACAGTATATAATAACACAACACACAGTATATAATAACACACAGTATATAATAATATCACACAGTGTATAATAATAACAACACACAGTATATAATAACACACAGAGTACAACACAGTGTAAAATAACAACACAGTATATAACAACACACAGTATATAATAACACACAGTATATAATAACACACAGTATATAATATATCACACAGTATATAATATCACACAGTGTATAATAATAACAACAACACACAGCATATAATAACACACAGAGTACAACACAGTGTAAAATAACAACACACAGTATATAACAACACACAGTATATAATAACACAGTATATAACAACACACAGTATATAATAACACACAGTATATAACAACACAACACACAGTATATAATAACACACAGTATATAATAACACAGTATATAATAACACACAGTATATAACACACAGTATATAACAACACAACACACAGTATATAATAACACACAGTATATAACACACAGTATATAACAACACAACACACAGTATATAATAACACACAGTATATAACACACAGTATATAACAACACAACACACAGTATATAATACCACAACACACAGTATATAACAACACAACACACAGTATATAATAACACACAGTATATAATAACATACAGTATATAATAACACAACACACAGTATATAATAACACACAGTATATAATAATATCACACAGTGTATAATAATAACAACAACACACAGTATATAATAACACACAGAGTACAACACAGTGTAAAATAACAACACACAGTATATAACAACACACAGTATATAACAACACACAGTATATAATAACACACAGTATATAATAACAGTATATAACAACACACAGTATATAATAACACACAGTATATAACAACACAACACACAGTATATAATAACACAACACACAGTATATAATAACACACAGTATATAATAACACAGTATATAACAACACACAGTATATAACACACAGTATATAACAACACAACACACAGTATATAATAACACACAGTATATAACACACAGTATATAACAACACAACACATAGTATATAATAACACAACACACAGTATATAATAACACACAGTATATAACAACACAACACACAGTATATAATAACACACAGTATATAATAACACAACACACAGTATATAATAACACACAGTATATAATAATATCACACAGTGTATAATAATAACAACAACACACAGTATATAATAACACACAGAGTACAACACAGTGTAAAATAACAACACAGTATATAACAACACACAGTATATAATAACGCACGGTATATAATATATCACGGTATATAATAGCGGTATATAACAGCACAGTATATAACGCACGGTATATAACAGCACAACACACAGTATATAATAACACACAGTATATAATAACACAGTATATAACAACACACAGTATATAACACACAGTATATAACACACAGTATATAACAACACAACACACAGTATATAACAACACACAGTATATAACAACACAACACACAGTATATAATAACACACAGTATATAATAACATACAGTATATAATAACACAACACACAGTATATAATAACACACAGTATATAATAATATCACACAGTGTATAATAATAACAACACACAGTATATAATAACACACAGAGTACAACACAGTGTAAAATAACAACACACAGTATATAACAACACACAGTATATAATAACAGTATATAACAACACAACACACAGTATATAACAACACAACACACAGTATATAACAACACAACACACAGTATATAATAACACAACACACAGTATATAATAACACACAGTATATAATAACACAGTATATAACAACACACAGTATATAATAACACACAGTATATAACACACAGTATATAACAACACAACACACAGTATATAATAACACAACACACAGTATATAATAACACACAGTATATAACACACAGTATATAACAACACAACACACAGTATATAATAACACACAGTATATAACAACACAACACACAGTATATAATAACACACAGTATATAATATCACACAGTGTATAATAATAACAACAACACACAGTATATAACAACACACAGAGTACAACACAGTGTAAAATAACAACACACAGTATATAACAACACACAGTATATAATAACACAGTATATAACAACACAACACACAGTATATAACAACACAACAACACAACACACAGTATATAACACACAGTATATAACAACACAACACACAGTATATAATAACACAACACACAGTATATAACAACACAACACACAGTATATAATAACACACAGTATATAATAACACACAGTATATAATAACACAGTATATAACAACACACAGTATATAACACACAGTATATAACACACAGTATATAACAACACAACACACAGTATATAATAACACACAGTATATAACAACACAACACACAGTATATAATAACACACAGTATATAATAACATACAGTATATAATAACACAACACACAGTATATAATAACACACAGTATATAATAATATCACACAGTGTATAATAATAACAACAACACACAGTATATAATAACACACAGAGTACAACACAGTGTAAAATAACAACACACAGTATATAACAACACACAGTATATAATAACACAGTATATAACAACACACAGTATATAATAACACACAGTATATAACAACACAACACACAGTATATAACAACACAACACACAGTATATAATAACACAACACACAGTATATAATAACACAGTATATAACAACACACAGTATATAATAACACACAGTATATAACACACAGTATATAACAACACAACACACAGTATATAATAACACAACACACAGTATATAATAACACACAGTATATAACACACAGTATATAACAACACAACACACAGTATATAATAACACACAGTATATAACAACACAACACACAGTATATAATAACACACAGTATATAATATCACACAGTGTATAATAATAACAACAACACACAGTATATAACAACACACAGAGTACAACACAGTGTAAAATAACAACACACAGTATATAACAACACACAGTATATAATAACACAGAATATAACAACACAACACACAGTATATAACAACACAACAACACAACACACAGTATATAACACACAGTATATAACAACACAACACACAGTATATAATAACACAACACACAGTATATAACAACACAACACACAGTATA